CCAGGATGGCCAAATTTCGTCTCTAATACTTCGGACATGTTATCAGGAGGGATGAGTTTCTGGAGAAGGATATCATGTTTGGTAAGGTCAGAGAAAAACAGAAAGACCCCCAGCGAGATGAATTGGGCAAGTAGCAGCATCAATGGACTCAAGTGTGGCAACAATAGTGAGGTTGGCCCAGGACAGGGCAGTGTTTTGTTCTGTTGTGCATAGGGTCACTATGAATCAGTACCGACTTCATGGTACCTAACAACAACAACAACAAGGGTACAGACTGTTTCTACTTCGCTTTTCCCTGAAGCCAACTGTATTTATATATTATGAATGTATTTGGTTGAAATGAATTAAAAGCCTTCAAATTTTGTGTTGTGTAGGTAGTATTTTCATCAAATTAAGCAATATTGTAAGAATACTTTATAAATGATTAAATGCTACCCATATGTTTTTCTCAGATGATAATATTTTGAGACATTAGCCTATTTGTGTCCTTTTTTGGCCTCCCTGGACCTGATTTTACCTTTATTAACTCCCCATTCAATTAACCAACCTTACATTTATGCCTCTATGGAGGGATATGATTCTGCAAGGTCAACCTTCAGCTGCTACCCCCAGTATGGCCACACTGCTATGGCTGGCAATTATTCTGATTAGCTTTTACATCTGGTCTGATTGTTCAGTGCTTGTGTCATATTGATTTTAAAATATTTTGAGTGTCACCACTTTATATACTGTTTCTAAATGCTTAAGCCTGGATTTGGGGAGAAGGGAAAAGAAAAAGGCTTTGAGTGTGGATAAAGTGTCCTCTGATCCACTAATGAATAAAAAAGGACTTAACTGAGATGAGAGAGAGAGTACCTATCCTAGGGAGAAAAACACCCAAGAAGAACAGAGGATACTATACGCTGCCTTCTGGACATGCCGTTTGGAAGACAGCAAGTGAATAGTTGTGTGTTTTATTTTGGCAGTCATGTCAATTAGTAGCCTCACAGAGATTGCTTTCTACCCAGTTTGCTACAGACACAGCAGATAAATTAGACCCAAGGAGTGATGGGAACCGGGTGGTGGGGATCCCTCAGCAGTGATGATCTAATGAATCAATGATCAAACCTCTTTCCTGTGCCCCACACCAGACACCTTGCCACTATGTGAGATTCTAGAACTATGATGCAACCTTGTGTGGGGAGTGACAGGATGGGGGTGGGGGTGGGGGAGTCCAAAAAGGGCTGGGATTAAGTTTTCCATAAGCACAGCAGGATGGCAACCTGAACTATAAATTAATTTGTCCTGAAAATAAAGTGCTCTTTCTTGTGCACCTGAACTTATGGTCATGCTTCATGCCTGCGTCAGTGTTTGATTGATTGAATGGGAAATGGAGAATGGTAAAATCCAGGTTCAGGGAAGGCCAAAATATCATGCTTCATAATTGGATTTATAACTTTTTTTTCTAAGGAAATTTGTTGTTGGTGTTAAATACTGTGGGGTCGGTTTTCCGACTCATAGTGACCCTGTACAGTGTTTCCTAGGCTGTAAATCTTTACGGAAACAGAAAACCTTCTCTTTCTCTCACGGAACTGCTGGTAGTTTCAAACTGCCGACCTTGAGGTTAGCAGCCCAATTCATAACCACTATGCTACCAGAGCTTTAGATGACAGGAAATAACCAGTGAGAACAAATTTAGGTCACATTTATAATAATCCTTTCAATGAGACATGCCTTCTTGGTTTGCCCAACTATATGATGTAAACAGCAATACAGAAAAAACAACAACTCTAAAATTAAGAAATTAACTTCAACACAGAAAGAAACTCTGAGGATTGAAGATTGCCTCAAATAATGTAGGGGTACTGGCAGGATGAGCTATTGACGTGTAGCCTTTTCTTCTCCCTTCCATTTCTCTCTCTTTTCATGCCATTGCATTTCCCACCTACATTTGACCCTCTTCTGAATGTAGACGTTAGGTTAAGTAATTTGTAATTTTTGTATTTATTATTGGTCAGATTTTATTTATAGTTCTAATTTAGAACAGTATCCTTTTTTTTTTTCTATCAAGAAAATCAGATTTTATTTTGGAGCTGTATATTCAAAAAACTTCAGGATGTGTAGAAATTCATTTTTGAACTTCCCTGGACATGATTCAGAGGTTGATTGAGGGAAGGGTTGGATCTCTGGCATCCTGGGATTCTTATGGTTTGGCAATGAGCACCTGGGAAAATTGGCTTCAGGAACAGAAAGAATTTCTTCTTTGTTTAGTGGAGGAAGTTGATAAACATAGCCAATTTGTCTCCAATGGGATGGAAAATACCTTTTACCTAGGCCTTTTTCTTCTGAATGCTTAGGTGGTGGGTCATGGTGACCATGGGGACCTTGGCTGTGAGATGGTCGGTCACAGGGGCTATGGTCATGGAAACCATCACCATGGGGATGTTTTCTACGGGAATGGTGTTTACGGGAGGGGTGTTTCAGACCATAGTGTCTATAGGAATGATGCTCATGGGAATGATGTCCATGAGGATGGGATTCACTGGAATTTTGATTATGATTATGATCATGATCTTTGTCTTCTAGGGGAGGAGGGCATCCAAATCCATGTGGCTTATGGTGGTGATGGTGACCTCTAGATCCATTAGGCTTAAATGGACGTCTGCCTGCAGGAAGATGCTCAGGGCTACCAGAGTCAGGGGGTATGCCCAAATGGTGTTGTTCACCATGGAAGTTTCTATGTTCCTGGTAGAGGAAAAGTAGATATCATCATGTAATACAAAAGGGGAAGTTAGATGCCTAGACCATTGGTCACTGAAGGTTTGGATTGCACAAATCAATTTTAGAAGGGTACCAACAAAGGACTAGCAAAATTTTATCTAACTAAATGGGTATTTAAAATACAAATATAATCTATCATCTATCACTAACTATCATTACTTCACAAAAGGAATGTGACATCTTGACAACAAACAGGTTTGAAAATCTCAGTGTACAGAGCAGTCTTTTACATAGAATAACTGCTGTATTATGAAAAACTTCCTTTGTTATCCTTACTTTTCTCATAAAGTGTTGAAACTCCATTATAGAATAGCACCCATCCACTGACCAACATCTGAAAACTAGTGACTGCTAATCTATATTCTCAACAGAACTCTGAGGTTTTCTGATATAAGCATCGCTTTCATTTCTTCTTCCTGAAAGATAATCACTTCCTTTCTTTACTCTCTTCCTTGTTCAGATTTCAATTTAAATATATATATATATATATTGATCCATATTTGTGGTAGCAAATCTACCCTTTTAAGGGGAGGCAGGAGTTGGCACATGGATATTTGGATCATTTATAGTAGTTTTGCTAATATTAAAAATACTTTAAAAAACATTTTTGTGTTCACCCATAAATTACGACAAAGCTTTCTGGGACAAATGTGAATATTACTTTGCATCTTGTTTTACATACCTTTATATAATACATTTGAAACTAATTCCTGTTAAGTTAGGTTCCATGCTTAATAATGTTGTTGTTGCTGTTGTTAAGGGCTGTTGAGTCTGTTCTGACTCATAGCGACCCTGTGTGGGTTTTTTGAAAGCGGCTGGAGAATTCAAACTGCCGATCTTGCTATTCAAACCAACCTTGTGGTGTAGTGCTTATCTCTCAGCGCCACACCAGGGATCCATGCCTAATAGTAAAAGCTAAATATTATTAAGTCTTAGCTGTGGAGTCCTGACTACATGGACTATTTTAAACTTCATTCAAAATTGATTGAATTGGTCAGGTTTTATTTATTGGTCAAAATACCACCCCTTCTCAATTCTTTAAAACTTTTTTAAAACATCATTTAAAAAATGCTGTATCAGCAATTGCATTCCTTTCCTTAGGAATCTGTTCTCCTTTATCTTTTTCTCTTCTTCCTTCTCTGTTCAGTCTCACATTTTCTAGCTGGTCTCCTTCTCATAAAGTGGCATTAGACAAAATTCCTCTGCAGTATAGAACAGACCCCTCACACATGTTGTCTTTCTCTCCTCTTTACCCCCTCACACACATAAAAATTTGTAAGAATCAAGTACACGATGTGTGAGAAACCCTACTTTTAGTCTGCTTGTGACAACAGCTAGTTTTGCAGTAGCCTACCTCAAGGTTGAAGACATCACAGTTTACGACAAGGTCTTTTGGGGTTTCCAAGTCAGAAGCTTCTACATCATAAAAAAAATCTGCTCTGCAGAACCCAAAGACCTATAAAGAAGAAAGAAGCTTGTTGAGTGAATATGTTTATGTGTGAGAGAGACAGAGTCAGTGGGTGGTGAGAAGGTGTCAGTTACAGTTATGAACTTCCAGACATTTGTGAAAAGAAAAAGAGCTTTAGGAAAATCAGGGTAATACTATCAAATATAAAGTTAATAATTTTGTGAAGTCCTCATGACATAGTAGATTACACATTGGGCTGCTAGCCTAGCCACAAGGTAAGTAGTTAGAATGTATCCACCAGCTACTCTGTGGGAGAAAATGAGGCTGTCTGTTCCCCCAAAAGATTTATAGCCTCAGAAATCCTATACAGGGTCACTATGAGTCAGAACTGACTTGATGGCACCTACCATCTCCACCACCAAAAAAGTCAATATGTGTTTTTCGGAAAGTGTTTTGTTACAAGTTGTGTTCTCTTCCATAAGCGGTCGCCGGCACTGAATTTCCCCGTGGGTGGTGATAGGGAGCACCACTTTTTTGTTGTCTTGCCTTTGGGTCAACTCAACTCAACTCGACCTGGGCCTAGAGACAATGAGGAGTGGTGTAGAAAAGGAAATTGAACTACTTTAACTGGTCCCTTGGAGAAAAGTGTTGGAAAGGAGAGCCAATGCAACAACAAGTCTGCATATACTTAGTCAAGGTGTGCATCTCCTGATCTCACCTGAAGCATAGAGATTAGGATTACACATGGCTGTCACACCTAAACTCTCTCCTTCCCCCAAAACCAAGCCCGCTATTATCCAGTCGGTTCTGGCTCATCGTGATGCAATAGGACAGAGTAGGATGACCCATAGGGTTTTCAAGACTGTAAATCTTTATGGACACAGACTAGCACATCTTTCTCCTGTGAAGTAGCTGGTGGGCTTGAACCACTGATCTTTTGGTTAGAAGTTGAATGTTTTAACTGCTGTGCCACCAGGGCTCCTTTCCCTATGCACTCACAAACTTACTGTTGTTGAGTAGGTTTTCTGACTCATAGTGACCCCGTAGGATACAGTAGAACTACTCTCTCGTGTTTCCAACACTCTAAATCTTTATGGGAGCACACAGCCTTCATTTTCCTCACCCAGAGTGGTTAGAGGATTTGAACCATCAGCCTTATGGTTGATGGTTCCACAACCATACTGTGCCACTGGGACTCCTTCCTATGCACCAAATCCACTGCCATTGAGCTCTGTAAGTTTTCCAAGACTGTAAATCTTTATGGGAGCAGACAGCCTCATCTTTCTCCTATCCACTGTAATAGAATCTTTACAAACTCATAGTGACCCCTATATAGGGTTTCCAAGGTTATAAATCTTTACAGGAGCAGAAAGTCTCCTTTCACTCCCGCAGAGCAGGTGTTGATTTCAAACTGCCAACCTTGTGATCTCTAAATTCACTTGCCAAAGGTAGAGTAGGACAAGAAGAAGACTCTTTGCTAGAAAATACTGAGAAGTATTGTGGTTCTAAGTACAATTTTGGAACCAGAATTTAATTCTGACTTCACAGTTTGCTAGTTATGTGAATTCAGGCAAGTCATATAGTGTTTCTGAGACTCAGTTTCTTTATCTATAAAGTGAGTGGGGATGATACTATCTGTCTTATACAGTTGGTGTTGTTGTATGCCATCAAAATGATTCCGACTCAATAGGGCTTCTGAGAAGCAGACGGTGGGTTTAAACCACAGATCTTGTGGTTACCAGTCTAGTGCTTATCCTACAGGCCCTCACCAGGACTCCATATTGCTGTATAAGGGCTTAATTAAATGAGTCTTAGCCCTCTACCTTCTCTTCTTATGCCCCCATGTTTCTGCATTAAATTTGCATAACTTACATTGGCCACTAAGCAGGATTCTAGTACTACTTCAGGTTGCAAATTTGAACAGCCAGCAAAGAAACTAGGGAGTGCTTCCTCCCTTCTTACTTGGGAGACTATGTTAAATCTCTCAAAAATCATGGACTTGAGAAGGTTGTCATTAAAACCTCATGTCCTAACCTTTGTAGCCAAGTTGTTGTTGTTGTTACGTGCCGTGGAGTCAGTTCCAACTCATAGCGACCCTGTTCAGGGTTTCCAAGGCTGTAAATCTTTACAGGAGCAGAAAGCCTCATCTTTCTCCTGCGGAACAGCTGGTAGTTTCAAACTGCTGACCGTGAGGTTCACAGCCCAATTTGTAACCACTGTGTTACCAGAGCTCATTTTGTAGCCAAGTACCTAGAGATAAATTGGCTAAACATCTAGGCCCTTGGGTCCTGGGGAAATGAAGGCAGATATGTCACGGACCTCCAATAAGGCAATAAGATAGGTTGAGGTGCTTTATAATCTGTAAATCACCATGCAAATGCCAGGTATTATTAATAAGATCTTCCTGCAGGTACATGGGTATCAATTTACAAATGATTGGGGTGAAATTCCACTGTTTTAGGTATCAGAACTAGCTTCTAATCTCAGCTTTTTTGTGAACATTGGGCAATATTCTATTCTTATTTTGCTGAGTTGCAGTTACCTCCTCAGAGGAGAAAAATGAAACAAAATAAATGAAAACACCCCTATATTTGGGTTGTGAGTACAAACTAGTTATTAGTTTCAAAGTTTTTAATCCTATGGACTGAATAACTTGATTTTAAGTTTCAGTACACATATCATATGTGTATGATATAGCATTTATATGTCTGTATGTATATATGGAGTCCTGGTGTAGCACTGTGATCTAATGCGTCAGACTGCAAAGTCATTTGAATTGCAAGGTTGGTGGTTCAAGCTCACCAGCTGCTCCTTGGAAACCCTATACAGGGTCAATATGGGTCAGAATCAACTCGAGGGCACTTAATGACAACAACGACAAATATATATACACAAGTTCTATTCTCAGACACTTAACGCTTCTGTATTTATCACCTGTAAATTGGAGGTAAAAATAGTATGTACTTCATACGGCTGTGTGAGCATTAAGTAAGCTAACATGTGGACATCACTTAGTAAGTGCTCTCTAAATGTTATTTATTGTTTCACAGACATTGATTATACTCACATTAGAATGCCTATGAGAATGGTGTCTAGAACAGTTCCTTATGGAGAAGTCCACATAGTAACCGGTTCCTTTCCCTCCTCTCTACAATAGAGAACAGAGTAGATCATGGCACGTCCAGAAAAAGATAGTTTTTTTTTAAAGTAAATACCTTTAACCAATACACTGTAAAGCACTCTAAAGATTCAAAATCACCAACACAGACAGAAACCATTTTCTTATGGTTTCTGTGTAGATTTTTAAAAAATTGCCTAAGTGATAAAAGAAATACCACTTTACTGGGAAGATTCAAGTTATACTGAGATAAAAGCAATATGTGACCCTCCCTGTACCTCAACCTCCCCGACCCAGTGTTATTACTATCATCCATGTGATTGTTTCTGTGGCTAGCCTTTTCTTAGACATACTGCACATATATATGTCCACATGTATCTAATGTTTTATCCAAATGGGTTTGTATTCTCTAAGTATTATTTCTTTCGTGTTTTTCTTTTCTTGTGCTTTTTTGCATGTCTGATTCGGGTGAAAATTCACAGAGCTAATTGACTTTCCATTCAGCAGTTTACACACATTTTGTGTGTGTGTGACACAGATTGCAATCCCCACAGTAATGGGGCTTTTCCTCCCATTGTTTCCCATTGCCCTTCATCCTTCTTTTACTAGCTCTTTCTGTCTTCTGAGCCTTATCCATGGGCAGGTGCTGCCTTGATGGTCTCATATGGTTGATTTTTCTAAGAAGTACATACATCTCTGGTATTATTGTTCACCTTATTGCTGTCTACAATATGTGTGGCTGAATATTGAACCACAAGGGTAAATTCAGGTCCAGGCCTGTAGGGTATCTAATGGCTATAGTCTTTGGGTCCTAAGTATTGTTTTATAACTTACTGTTCCCTTTATGATATGCCTTAAAAGTTTCCAGTGTATATAGGTCCAAAGCATTCTTTTCAATGCATCGTATTCATCCTGTTGTTTGTATGCATCACAATTTAACTGCATTTTCAAAATGTGTGACAAACATCAACCAACTGCTCTTTTATAAGACAACTTCAGGAGATAGGCAGGAGGGTATCTGGATTAGAAGGTGGGAGAACTGTCTAGTCCGAACTATGCCTCTGGGTGTGGTGATGGACTCTTCCTGAGCCTCAGTTTTCCATCATAATACAAGGAGATTAGGACCAGACCAAGATTTAATAACTCATGTAACTTTAATATTGCTTTTCTGTCTTTCCCTCTTTCCTTTGTGGGGTTTCCCTCCTCTCTTTCAGATCATCACACCTCCATCCAAAATAAGACAAAATAAAGCTTGCAGGATGGCAGTTATTTGGTATCTACTTGACTTAAAAGCTAACTGGCTGAGTGAGACTGGTGGGAAAGTAGTGTCTCTGAATTCATGTGTACCATGTTGGAGCACAGGCCTTCAGGGTCTACTTGGACATTAGTAGAGACTCACCACTCGTATAACTCTTTCCACTTGATCCACCCTGAAAGAGGTGAAATCACTGTTCTCTGTTTTGTGTTTCTCAAGGGCTTTGTTGGCTTGTTTTCTGTAGGGTTCAGTATCCTCAAAGAAATCAAAGAGCACAGGACTGTCTTTGGTATTGGACAGTGCTGAAGAAACTGGAGAAAGAGATGACAGCATCACCGTTACTGGGTTGTAAATGGCAGCATTCAAACTGGGACTTATAACATATAAACATGTTGCTGTTGTTGTTAAGTGCTGCGACCCTGTATAGGGTTTGCAAGGAGAAGCTGGTGAGCTTGAACCGCTGACCTTGCTGTTCAAACAGCTTTGCTGTCTGGTGCATTAACCCAAAGCGCCACACCAGGATTCTGTATAAACATGGCGGTAAAAATATTAATTACAATAGCTTCCAGTTTACAGATAGGCAAATTGAGGGGTTGGAGAAGTTTAAGTACTAGTTCTAAGTCAATCAGCTAATTAGCTGTAAACTGAAGCCAAGATCCTTTGGATGCCCAAGCCCCTATTGTGAGCTCTATTCATGATGCTTCTCATCCATATTGTTGCTTGTTGTTAATCACCACTGAGTCGGTTCTGACTTAGGGCTCCTGAGACTTTTTAAAAATCTCTGCGGCAGCAGAAACCTCATCTTTTCCCCCTGAAACAACTCGTGGACTTGAACTGCTAAACTTATGGTTCACAGTCCCATGTTTATCCTACAGAGCCACTGTGCTCACCTTACTCATCCATCATTAACATCATGGTTTTTTTTTTTCACAGAAACAAGAGAACCCCCCAGCTCACCCTTTCTTTAAAGCAACTAAGAGGTTGCTTGACTCTTGAACTTTTATATATTAAATCATATGAGAGTTACTGTTTTTATGTGAATTCTTATTAAATTTTGAGGAAAAATAGGAATACTTAAAAAAAGAAGAAGAACAAAGAATTTAGAGACAACATTGCTAGGTTAGATTATTGTATTCACCACACCTTGCCTGTGTTTCCCAAGCCAATTTGAACCTCTTTGAACTTCAGTTACTGGTGTTGTTGATAAGTGCCATAGAGTCAGTTCTAACTCATAGCGACCCTGTGTAGGCTTTCTGAGGAGCAGCTAGTGGGCTGAACTGTCAACCTTGTGGTTAGCAGTCCAGTGCTGATCCTACAGTGCCACACCAGTTACTGTATCTCGAAACTATAATATATCTTTGTAAACTTGTTGTAAGATGAAAAGAACTAGTATGTGTATAAATGTAGAATATTTGTAAATGGTAAAATCCTAAACAATTATTAGATATTAAAGTCAATGCTTATTAAGTGCTGGGTACTCTGCAAAGTTTACTGCATACACCATCTTATTTCATTCTCAGAAGGGACCTGAAGGATAAAACTGCTATCGTCTTCATTTTACAAATGAGGAAACCAAGGCTTAAAGAGGTTAATTAAGTTACACAAGACCACATAGCTAGTAAATAGTGAGTTTGGCTTGCAAACTCAAGCAAATTATACTCCAGAGTCTATACTTCTACAATGATCAATACTGGTTCTTGTAAATTTCCATTTTTACAGATTGAATTTCTTGAAAGAAAGGTACATCAGTAATGGGGGTGGGGGAGATCCCTTGTTCCTTTATTCTCAGGAGAATGAATAAGTCAAGTCCATGAGTAAGGGACCATTTCTGATATGTACAATATCTGCTGAGTGCTACTGGATGACTGGAATCTATATTAATCTAGAATTAATTGGTAATTTGACAGATTACCATACCAGAACTTGTGGTGCAGTTAAAATTATTCACTCTAAGATCCAGAGATTCATGGGAAAATGCTGTAGCTACCACCTTGCATTGCCCGATCACCTGTGAAAAAGAGGGGTTTTGTGTCATTGCATACTGGTTTCCTCAAATTGAGCGTAAGAAAAGATAATGCAACATTTTACTACTATCCATTTAAAAATTATTTACTCATTCCTCAAATGAGGGTAAGAAAAGATAATGCAACATATTACTACTATCCATTTAAAAGTTATTTACTGTTTTTTTTTTAGTCAAACCCACTCTCAAAACCTGCATTTTCTAAGACTGTGTCTGTGTGCTGGATTCTATATCCATCCAAAAGCCCTCCTGAGAACCTGGAAGAAACATTGTAAACAAATCATGACCGTATCTAAAGTATTTTTTAGGGAAAAAATTGATCAAACTTCTAGGTATGTACTCTTATTTTCTAGAAATAAAACCTTAAATGTGTACTTATTTCTCTCTTTGTTTTCTACCTGTGACAGATAACCTGGTAGCTGAGTCCCCATGTAGAGTGTGCAGAACAGTATCCTATTCCTCATTTAAACTGCAATTTTTCCCCATGGTCATTTCTAATTATGGGACCAGGTTTCACAGAATACAATAAATAACAAGTTCATAGGTTCTTAGACCATAGCATATGAAGACTGGAGAAGCACCTTAGAGTCCATCTACTCTAAGCTCCATCTCTTATTTTACAACAGAGGAGACTAAAGTTCAAAGTGATTAGGTGATTTGCCCATGGCCAGCTGGTCAGGCTATCCCATGAACTGTGACTTATCTTGAACTAGGTTCCCAGTTATGACTTTTGAGACATTATTACTCAAGATCAACATAGTCTTCACAAGTCCTAAGGTAGGAGCCTTATATAGTGTTTTGCTGTGTTTGCCTGCACTTGGCTTCTCTGAGTAAGTAGAGTAGATAGATTGACAAGAAGAGGAGACTGGTGTTCTGTTTACTTACAATCTCAGATGGACGCCTTGAATCAGCCAACTCACAGTCATTCCAGTGTTTCCTGGAAAGGACTGAACAGTCAGATTCTACCACATCTAGGACTAAATAATAGACAGTTGCAGATTCCTGAGGAATGATAAGAAAGCAACAGGTTAGAGGAGCATGTGGGAGCCCAGAAGCTTTCGTCAATAAAAACACTATCTTAAACAGAATTCCGACTACTTTCCAAAGCTTTGCCGATGTCCCACCTTTATGCCATTTGATCTATTGAATTGAATAAATAGCATCAAAGAGTCATTTCCAAGCTTGATTTTCAACTCGTCACAATGCTTCTTCCGCTCACGACCTTTAAAAATCGATTAGTTTTGGTTTGAGAGTGGCTGCTAGAAATAAAAGCTAGAATTCTGAGTACGGCCCCCGTAGTGTAGTGGTTATGAATCGGGCTGCGAACCTTAAGGACAGCAGTTTGAAACTACCAGCTGTCCCGCAGGAGACAGATGAGACTTTCTGAGCTCATAAAGATTTACAGCCTCGGAAACCCTGTGCAGGGTCACTATGAGTCGGAACCGACTCCACGGCACATAACCACCACGATAACGGCTACCCCAGGGCGTCTATACTATGGCCACCATATCTCTATTTTCAATTGTGTCCCTTCCTCCTGCTCTATCCTCAAACTCGAATTTTCTTGATTTCAATTGATTTTCAAATTTGATTTCAGGCTAAATCCACTATAGTCCCTTATAAGCCAGGTCCTTCTCTCATCTTTCTTGTGGCACTAATAATTATTGTGGTAATGTCTTGCTTAGAAATGTGAAATCAACTTTGATTTCCTCCATTTCCTTGCTGCCGCTCACCAGCCAGTCACCAGCTTTCTTCTAAATGACTGTGCGTCTGTTGCTCCATCTCATGATCTTAATTCTCACTGCTTTGATATGGTCCTCATTTCCTTGTCCCTGAAGGCAAGAAATAGATTTCTAGTTCATCTTCCTGTTACCTGTCTCTATAGCCCGAGGTATACCATGGCCTCTCCCCAACTAGTCACCTTTCATGCCACCATTCTGACACAGTGCCTATTCACACATGAGGTAGAGAGCCCGGAAGTGGCACAGTCACTAAATGTCTGACTGAATCCTAAATCTATAATACTCTTCTTCTCTGCAACCTGCAGCACCTTCCTTTCTAATACTTTGCTGTTAGCTACCATCATATCAGAGCCTGACTAATGGTGACCATGTACAAGTGTGCCATTGGGATCCATAAAGTTTTCATTGATGATTTTTTTTTTTTTTTAAGTATTTTCTGAAACGTGTTCAACATCATAGCAAAATGCAAGCTTCCACAAACTGATGGGTGGTGAGTACGCTTGTGTAGATACATTGGCTGGGAATCAAATCTGGGTCTCCTTCATGGAAGGTGAGAATTCTGCCATGGTTTGGCCTTTCCTAAGCTCATTCTTCATAAAACTTCTGGAGCTCCACTATTTGTTTTCAATCACTCTCTAACACCTTTCTTCCCTATTCCCTGTTCAAGTAGAGCTGGAATGCCTGGAATTCACCTGGAATGCCTTTGCTCTGGCCCTCTTCCTATTCCCATCCTTTGTTGTGTTGTTGTTGTTAAGTGCCATTGAGTCTGTTCCAACTCATTTCCACCTTATATAGGATTTCCAAGGAGTGGCTGGTGAGTTCAAACTGCCAACCTTGCGGTTCAAACCAACTTTGAGGTTGGACTCCACCCATTCTTTGTTGTTGTTAAGTGCCTTCAAGTTGGTTCGGACTCATAGTTACCCTGTGTAGGGTTTCCGAGAAGCAGTTGGTAGGTTTGAACTGCTGACCTTGTGGATTGCAGTCCAGTGCTGATCCTAAAGCACCACACAAGGAGTCCACCCATTCTTTTATATTTAGTGCTATCGAGTCAGTTCCAACCCATAGCAACCCTGTACAGGGTTTCCAAGGAGCAGCTGGTGAGCTTGAACGTCCAACCTGGCAGTTCAAACAGACTTTGCAGTTCAGCATATTAACCCACAGTACCATACTCCAACAGAAACCTTCTCCCTTCTAATCTTAATAGAGCTCCTTTCATTGAATGTCTCCAGCATTTATACCACACACTTGGCCACTTCAATGGATCCTACCTTCCACAATTTGTTTATGTGTATGGGCAGATTATCCATTTCTTGAAGACAAGGACCACAGTTTATTCTAATTTTTCTCTCTCAGTAAATAACCTTAGATTGAAATCAGCATAAGTGTTTATAAGTACTTTCAGATCAATTCATAGTTAAGGACTTAGTGAGCACAGACATTAGTTTGAAGGAAGAAAGGTCAATCTATAACAGCAGCAACAATTAACCCTAAAACCCTGACCAGAATCCGCATCGTGTAAAGCACTAAACTCAGAGGCTACAGATTGGTCCCTGGTGTGTTGCTCCCCACTCAACTCCACCATTGGCGATTTCTCACCGCTTTGTCCAAGTGGGCATCAGCAACCCGCAGCAACTGGAAAAGGTAGCCATCTTGTCGCCCTTTATTGATCAGGTCTAGAACTTTCCCAGCCACCGGTTCAGTCTCACTGCAATTGGTGGGACTCACGGCACAAGAATGATGCAGCGTGATCAAAAGTAGAGTTGCAAGGAACACCTTCATTGTGTTACAAAGTGACAACCATCCCTTACTATGGTCTCCCTCAGCAGGAAATTTTATACAGACTTTCTAAACTGCACACACACATACAAATGAGTAAAACAAAGTCTTTATACATTTTTGTTGCATAACCAGGGTTGCTCACCTTGACCCCAGGTTAAAATTTCTGTCAGTAGGCTGTAAATGATTAGTGGGTCCTGAGGACAGAGTTGAGACATAGCTGTTGGTGAGTGGGTGGAAATGTGGTCTGCCAAATCTAGATTTTTCTAGTAGGCAGCAGATCCAGAGTGTGTTATTGCATTGTGTGTGGGGTCTGGGGAATGGGTAGGGGAATTTTCCTGCATCTGCCCATAATGCTCAGCTTGATACTCCTTCATCAGTAACGCCTTTAAATGTCAGCACTAAAGGTCCTTAGTAGAATGCTACTATAGGACGTAACACATTAAACCATTGGTAGTGGTGGTGTGCCATTGAGTCATTTCTGATCCTAGGAACCCAGGTTTCCCAGGCTGTAAATCTGTTAACGTAGTGGTTACAAATCGGGCTGCGAACCTCACGGTCAGCAGTTCGAAACTACCAGCTGTCCCGTGGGAGAAAGATGGGGCTTTTTGCCTCCCGTAAAGATTTACAGCCTCAGAAACCCTGTACAGGGTCGCTATGAGTCGGTTCCGACTCCATGGCACATAACAACAACAAATCTTTACAGGAGCAGAAAGCCTCAACTTTCTCCCACAGAGCACCTGGTAGACTTGAACGCTGTGGTTAGCAACCCAACACATAACCCACTACACTACCATGGCTCCTTCTCAGGGAACACCATGGTCAATTGGCATAGTCCACAAAGACAATGTTCTACATCCTACTTTGGTGAATAATCCATGAACAGCCATCTAAGGTACAGTTATTGGTCTCTTCCTGTGCAGAAGAGTAATGAAAATTGAAGATGCTTGGAATCAGTTAGTCCAATGAATTAATGGGACATGTGAACATCAGTCTCCACAACCAGAAGTACTAGATGGTGCCCAGTGATCACTACCAATGCTCTGAAAGGGATCTCATTAGAAGGTCCTGGATAGAGTGGGATAAAATGTGGAATAAATTTCAAAAGTATTTTTCTTAAAAAAAATGGGGCTTACTGGTCAGAAAGAGACTAGAGGAGCCTGAGACTAGGGCCCTAAACCACTCTTTGGGTTTGAAAAAGAACTCATCCTCATGGCCCAACTTTCAGCCAAGCAATAGATAAATATATAGTGGGGACAACAACTCTAGGAAGTGATGCTCACCATGGAACAGTCAATCACTCAAAATCAAAAGGGCAACATTTACCTAAGGACAAATTCAAAAGGGCAACATTTACCTAAGGACAACATTACCTAAGAAGGGATGGGAAGGTGGGTGGAATGGAAGTAGGAACCATTGGGAGGAAGCGGGGTAGCGGTTGTTTGTTGTATGGAGGGGTGTGCAATTGTTGAGATGAAACAAAGTACATGATTTGTTGAATGTAAAACTGATGATCTCATCTGTAAGCCTTCACTCAATTCACAATAAAAAGTCTGAAAGAACAAAACAAAAAAGGAACTGACTTTGGGTAGAATAGAATAAGGCTGTTTGCTTTGGAGCCAGATCTGAATTTCAGCCTTGGCCCTGTTACACATTGTTCTTGCAATGTGATGCTGAGCAAGATAGAAAACTTCTCAGATTCTCAGTTTCCTCATTTGTAAAATAAGCATTGATATTGCTTGAAAGGATGGTATGGAATTAAGTCAGCAAAGAAACCAGGGCAGTGCTTGCTGCAGAGTAGATGCTGAATAATGGCACTAGAAGCTGCTAGTAGTGCCCAAGAAGAAGTTTGGGCACTGCCATGTCATCTGGTTCCTTGTGGCCATTGAAGCATGCCAAAATGGATCTTACTGTCCCATTGGGTCCAGTTAGAAGAAGGCCAGGATGAGGGCAGGAGTCAAGCAATTGAATGTCTTTTCCAGGGAGGGGTTGGAGGAAATACAACATTGGGGAGAGGCTCAACATGAATGATCCTCACCCCAAGAAACCAATATACCTTTATGGAACCAACTCCCAGATCAACAGAGGTCAGCAGCATCAGACAGGACCAGGAGAGCAGCCCACGTTCCCTCCCCACTGCCAATAAGTGGTCAGTCAGTTCAGCAGACTCTTTCAATCTCTTAACTCTCTACAGTAGGGTACAGTGAGAATCTGTGAGGCTTACAGCAGTGGTTCTCAGTTTGGGCTTAATATTTACAGTCATCTGAAATCAAAACCATTTGCTGTAGTATCAGTTCTGACTCATGGTGAAGCCATCTGTGTCAGAGTAGAACTGTGCTCCTCCATAGGATTTTCAAAGGCTGTGATCTTATGGAAGGAGATTGCCAGGACTTTCTTCCAAAGTGCCTCTGGATACGTTTTAGTTAGCAGCTGAGTAGACTGTTGGCACCACTTAGGAACTCCAGAATCACTAATCACTGAAGAGCTTAAAAAAAATTCAAATGTTTAGGCCTCCTCAAAGCAATTAAATCAGAAACTTTGGCATTGGTATGCTTAAAAGCACCGTTCATATGATTCCAATGAGAAGTACTAGGACTCTACCCAGAATCTTAGGGATGAAAAGAGCTTAAAGAAAGAATGAAGGGTGAGGTGGGATGTCTATGAAGGGCAGCCCTCCCTTCTCAGAATCACACATTGATATAGTGAGTGCTTTAAGTGGAAGTCCTGGTGTGATAAGCACTGGACTGCTAACAGCAAGGTCAGCAGTTCAAACCCACCAGCCACTCCTCTGAAATCCTATACAGGGTCACTTGAGTCAGAAGTGACTCCATAGCACTTACCAACAACAGCATAAGTGGAAGTGACAAGTTTTGAGTTATGTTTGAGAGTGAATTTTTAACAGTACCAACACTAGCTTTTAAATATCAAAATGGGATCATTTCAGTATGACTCAGAATGACAGGAATGGTGTGGAATCTGCCCTTGAAACGTTGTTAAGAAACTCCAACCCAGTGGGGCATGAAGAAAACAATAGAATTAAAACAATAATTTAAAGAGTTCGACTCATTGAGATGGATTGGCACAGTGGCAGCAACAATGAGTTCAAGTGTATCAGCAATTGTGAGCATGGCACAGGACCAGGCAGTGTTTTGTTTTGTTGACATTGGGTTGCTATGAGTCAGAGCCGATTCGATGGCATTTAACAAAAACTCATTGAAACACAGAACCGCTATCATTTAATTCAATAGCTTTCCCCTACTTTAGAGTTTAAAATCTAAAGTTTTGTTGTCTGCGGACGACTCCAACCAGGTAGAATTTAGTTATATCTTGTGTCTAGGTCTAAATGTTCAGATGCCAATTTTTCTTGAGTATCTCAAATACCTCTGACAGTAGAACTGACAATGTTAGAAGCAGAGTGTGTTTGAGAGCAGGCTTGAGGCCACATCTACCAGCCAGCTCAGGAAGAACAGAAACTCACTCCAAGAAACTGTAATAGCTGCAGAGGTCACCTGGGCATGGCATCATCCTCTGAGAGCCTCAGAAGCAATCCTGTAATAACAGCCTATCTGCAATAGTCTCCTCCTGGCTTCCATAGGCTGGGCATGTGTATGTGATGCATTGCTGCCATATGTCATGGTTGTGAGTAGAGAGTCCTTTGTTTTCTGTGTTGTATAACAGGCCACGTTGTGGAGGTAGAACTTTGGAAGTCATCATGGCATCATATCGATGGTTTCCCCTACCTGGGTAATTAAGGTTTTGTTTTGTTTTTACTCCTGTTTAATAAAAATGTAATAAAGAGTCTTCAAAATAAACTATTTGTGGGATGATATCAAGAAATCTCACTACCATCAAAAAAGAAGAGTCAGGGGTGGGCTGCATCCTTAGGACCCTGAGATCCCTGCACTTGAGCCTCCTTGTCTGTTGACAGACCTTTTTAAAGTGTTGAAGAACAAAGATGTCAGTTTGAGGAATAAGGTGCACCTAACCCAATCTATGGTATTATCAATAACCTCAGATGTATGTGAAAGACGGACATTGAATAAGGAAGACCATAGAAGAATTATGGTGTTGGAGGAGGAGACTGAAATACCATGGACTGCCAAAAGAACAAATAGATCTATGTTGAAAGAAGTGCACCCAGAATGCTCCTTGGAAGCCATGATGGCCAGACTTTGTCTCTCATACTTTGGATATATATTGTCAGGAGGGAACAGTCTTTGGAGAAGAATATCATGCTTGTTAAAGAGGAGTGTCGGAGATAAAGAGGAAGACCCCAATTGGCATAGTGGCAGCAGCAATGGGCTGAAGTATAGCAATGATTGTGAGATTGGTGTAGGACTGGGCAGTGTTTCATCCTGTTGTACATAGAGTCTCTGTGGGTCATTCATTGCCAACTCAATGACAACAACAACATGTATGCAAGTGAAAGTCAGACAATAATGAGGAAGACCAAAGAAGAATTGATGCATTTGAGTTATGGTGTTGGAGAAGAATTTTGAAAGTACCATGTACTGCCAGAAGAACAAACAAATCCGTGTTGGAAGAAGTACAACCAGAATGCTCCTTAGAAACCAGGATGGACATGTTATCAGGAGGAACTAGTCCATGGAGAAGGACTTCATGCTAAGTAAAATGATGTGTTAATGAAAGAGAGGAAGACCCCCAGTGAAATGGATTGGCACAGTGGCAGCAACAATGGGTACAAACAACAACTGTGAGACTAGTACTGGTCTGGGCAGTGTTTCTGGACAATAAGATATTTATATATTTGAAAATGGTCTCTTTTATTCCCCTACAACATCCCTACCCCCACTAAGTTGGAGACTTAAAAACATCCTAAATTATTTCCCAAGACAAAAGATTTCTATCAATTTCTTGCTGTAAACAAACCCTATGGGTCAGTTGTACTATATCCTATAATGTGGTTATGAGTCTGAATCAATGGGATGGAAGTGGGTTATGGGATCCCTGATGGCATAGTAGTTAAAGTGTTAATGGAAAGA